AGAAGCTAGAATTTATTTCCTATTACTTTTCCATTAATTTTCCGATCGTTCCTATGGCAGCTATATGATATAGTAGTCCGATTTTTTAAATAATTAATTCGAAATTCAGAAATGTTTAACAAATAACATTTCCAAGAGTAGAAGGTTTTATTTCAAAAAACACCGAAGCTAGAATTTTTTTAACGTTTCCTTCCTATGGGAGCTATAAGATATAGTTGTCCGATCCGGTCGTTTCCGGCTTATATACTACCTGCAATAGAAAGAAGACTTTTGGGAAAGTTTCAAGCCGATAGCTTCAAAACTGACAGACTAGTTTGCGTAGAAACAGACGGACAGACGGACATGGCTAGATCGACTCGTCTAGTGATGCTGATCAAGAAAGGTCTCCATTACTGCGTTACAAATATCTGGACTAAATTATAATTCCCTCTGCAAGGGTTTAAATATATATTTTTATTTTTTGTTATACAAGCCTTTTACACAAAAAATTATGTTTCAAAAGTGAAAAGCAGAAAAATACAGAAACAAATTTTCCCGTTCTTACGGAAAAAATTCTGTAAATTCCATTCTTTGAAGTGGGTAAGAATTTCTCAATTGCGCATATAAAATAATAGATTTTATTCAAACTCGGGTACCTCGTAGAGTTCGCCTTCGTAATCATCTGTGATTTTTTTGAATTTTTTTGGTGTCAATTTAGAGGCGCTATGAATTTTTGAAGTTAAGAACTTAAAAAATGCTCTCAAATTTAAAATTAGTATATCTCGGGAACGTCTTAAAGCAACAGCGTGCAACTTTACACGTTTTTAAATGTGTACTAGGGGAATTGAAAAATATTTTCTTACATTTTTTGTTGTCCAAAAAGAATAAATTTTAATTATTTGAAATTTTGTATCGCGGTTTTGAAAGTCTTCTCCATCCTATAAAATAAACTTAACTATCCAAGATTGTCCATCTCATAAACAACTTAATTTACCCGAAGAAACATTTTTGTTCCTTTTCATCATTTCCAAGATATATAATTTTTTACGAAAATTTAGAAAAACCCTATTTATATTTCCAACGACAACAATTCTTACATGTTTAAGCTGAAAGTTTGCACAACTCAATTTCTCACTGATATTTTGCCCATATATTAACATCACAATTTTACCACCGTCCCTTCATATAGCTGCCATACAAATCGATGGATTTTCTTATTGTTAAGAAGGTAGGCTTTGAAAAATTAAAATTACAATTTGAAAATTCATAGATTTGTATGGAATATGAAGGGACCGTGGTAAAATTATGATATTAATATATCTGCATAATATCAGTGAGTAATTGAGTTGTGCAAGCTTTAAGCTTAAACATATCAGAATTGTACTCATTGGAAATATAAATAGGGTTTTTCTAAATTCACATAAAAAACAAGAAAGGAAGCTAGCTTCGGCCAGCCGAAGCTTATATACCCTTGCAGATCATTCCTATTCATTAACAAATCGCAAAAATGTTCAATTTTCTAATATTTCTCATTAATTTTCCGATCGTTCCTATGGCAGCTATATGATTTTGATCAAATTAAAATTGAAATTCGGAAATATTTAAAAAGAGTCATATCCTAGAGTAGAAGATAATACAATAAAAACCAAAGAAGCTAGAATTTATTTCCTATTACTTTTCCATTAATTTTCCGATCGTTCCTATGGCAGCTATATGATATAGTCGTCCGATTTTGATTAAATTAAAATTGAAATTCGGAAATATTTAAAAAGAGTCATATCCTAGAGTAGAAGATAATACAATAAAAACCAAAGAAGCTAGAATTTATTTCCTATTACTTTTCCATTAATTTTCCGATCGTTCCTATGGCAGCTATATGATATAGTAGTCCGATTTTTTAAATAATTAATTCGAAATTCAGAAATAATTAAAAAAATAACATCCCCAAAAGTAGAAGGTAATATTTCAAAAAACACCGAAGCTAGAATTTTTTAAAGTTTTTTTTTCCGATTGTTCCTATAGGAGCTATAAGATATAGTTGTCCGATCCGGTCGGCTCCGACATATATACTACCTGCAATAGAAAGAAGACTTTTGCGAAATTTTTGTCCCGATAGCTCAAAAACTGAGAGACTAGTTTGCGTAGAAACAGACAGACGGACAGACGGACAGACGGACGGACAGACGGACAGACGGACGGACGGACAGACGGACAGACGGACATGGCTAGATCGACTCGTCTTGTGATGCTGATCAAGAATATATATACTTTATGGGGTCGGAAACGTCTCCTTCACTGCGTTGCAAACTTCTGACTGAAATCATAATACCCTCTGCAAGGGTATAACAAGAAAGGAAGCTACCTTCGGCCAGCCGAAGCTTATATACCCTTGTAGATAAAGTAATAATTATAATTAATTAGTTTAAGTTAGTTAATAAGATATTTTAAAAAGTAAACAGAAAATGGCTTTTAAAGATAGTCCTTTCCCTCGGTTCTAGTTATTCTTTTTGATCCACCTGATAAAACTTAAGGATCAACAATTCCAATAACGGGGGGATTAACCCTGATTGAAAGTACCAAGTTCCAGTTTGTACTGAAAATAAAAATCTGTGTAAAATACCTGTGGGTACTTCCCATCTATGAGAGGGGCTATGGCAAATCGTGCGTTGCCTACTGCCCGGATCACATACACAAACGACAGCGAACGAGGTCTTAACTTTCCAGCAAAGCTGGGTGAACCGCCCACCAATTTGCATCGATGCATCTGCCTCGAATCGGGGCCACCTATTGCCGCAACTCACCAAGCTGGTGTCTTCGAGATTATAAATGTCGAACAAAACCCACATGTCTCTTATTTTCAGACTGTCGAATCGATTTAAGATTTAATAGTGCTTATCCACTTAAAAAATATTTTAATAACTTATGGTTTATCAAAACTTCATTGAAACAAATTTTAGATTATTAATTTAGCTGAAGAGTATTGGGATTAATTGTATTGTCATTATGCATCAGATTTGTCGTTGGCATTAAAGGTAAATGATGAACAAAATATAACAATTAAATAAATTAATATCATATATTTTAGTATTTTTGACTTCTTAATTTTTAAGTTCTAAAAAATCCGTCGACTTCTACATATAGTTGCCATTGGAAAAATCGGCGAATTAAGAGGAAATTTTCATCGACTCTGGGATATAATTTGTTTTTTTAATTTTTTAAAACGGTCAACTATGATTTGCAAAAATATGACTACTATATTACTTATCTGCCATAGGATTACTTTAAACATATGAACTAGTAAGTCTAAATGTATAATTTGTTCTGAGGTAATTTCCCATCCTTTATCAGAATGGCAAGGGTATATAAAACCTCAGCTCGCCCCGATTATTTATTTATCAATTCTAACCGATAAATTGTTCCTTTAAATCAGCGGTCGGCACACACATACGTTGACATTTTCTTTTATATTTGTGCACTGGGCAGCTCATCGATGTGTGTGTGCAGACCGCTGTTCTACGTTATACATGTGCGAGCAGCGCGGCGGCAGAACAAAACCCTATGCTCACTTAATAGGGCGCTGCCGACCGCTGCTTTAAATTTTACTGACTTTTCAGTTTGCTTCCAAAATTCTTGACTTTATATTGAACAGTTTATAAAATTTTGCACCAGACAACGCGTTATTCATGTAATAAAATCCACAGGAACGCTTTTGTGCATTCAAATCGTCAAAGTCATCATTGCTATCGTTATGATTGAAGGGATGTACATATACTTATAGAATTTGTGGTCAAACGTCTCCTTCACTGCGTTGCAAACATCTGACTGAAATTATAATACCCTCTACAAGGGTATAATGATATATCTTGGAAATGATGAAAAGGAACAAAAATGTTTCTTCGGGTGAATTAAGTTGGTTATGAGATGGACAATCTTGGATAGTTGAGTTTAATTTATAGGATGAAGAAGACTTTCAAAACCGCGATAAAAAATTTCAAATAATCAAAATTCATACTTTTTGGACAACAAAAAATTTAAGAAAATTAATTTCTAACTCCCCCAGTACACATTTAAAACGTGTAAAGTTGCACATTGTTATTCTAAGCTGTTCTCGAGATATACTAATTTAAAGTTTGAGAACATTTTTTAAGTTCTTAACTTCAAAAATTCATATCGCCTCCAAATGGACACCAAACAATTTCAAAAAAATCACAGATGATAACGAAGGCAAACTCTACGAGGTAACCGAGTTTAAAGGAAATCTATTATTTCATATGCGCAGTTGAGAAATTCTTACCCAAGTAAAATAGTAAGATTTATCTGAAAAATTCGGGAAAAGACGCCTCTAGATGCCTGTCAAATATTTTAGGGCACATATTTTTCCTTGTATTTTTTTAAGCCTGTTCACCGCATTAAGTTGGTTGTGAATAGAGGTGAACAAACTACTTCAATAGCTCTTAGGATTTTATTGACTCAAATAATGGTGGAACCTTAAATGCAATTATGTAGAAGGGCATATAAGCCATTTTTTGGCATAGGTTTTAATACAATTGAACCACCCGTTAAACGCGAAAACTAAGTATGCAGAAATGCTTATATACGTCTATATTAACACAATTTAATGCCCATAGGGCTGCACCAAAAACACTGCCGCCCTGTGTTATTCGTTTATTTTATCTCATTATTAAGTTTTTGTTTTATTATTTTAACTTTTTTTTAAAATATGTTTTTATATAAATAGAATAAAGTTGTATGCGTTTTTAAAATCATTATATACTTGTTAAAAATTTCATTTTTAAATTTTTTTTTATCATATTGATGTGTTTACTCTCCGATAACTCTTTTGCACTTGTAAAAAATACGCGATCCACCTAAGGGACCACTCGGTGGTCGATCCCTATTCTACCCCAAAAGGGCCACCGGCCCCCTCGAGAACTACAGTGAATTCGTTTAGTTTTATGGGTTCAAAAATAAGTAGTAACAAAATAAATCGATAAGAATTAATTTTAAAATAAATATTTCAGTATCTCGCCTCATGAGTTCGTCAGCCAGTGGGACCATGGGACATATGGGAAATATGAGTGGACTAGCAGCTTGTAGCGTTAGCGATACAAAACCACTACAGTTTCCTTTAGCACAAAGGAGAAAACGGAGAGTTTTGTTTACGCAAGCTCAGGTAAGTGTCATATATCCTTGATCAGATTAAAACAATCTATGTACATCCAATATAATGGAAAACCAACAATTGATTTGGTTCCGGTTTGTGAACCGCTTCGGCGATATACTGGAACAGGCTTCAGGTTTAAACCAGATTTCAAGTAAAAATAACACTATGCAGCATCAAAAATTTACCTCGATGGATGCTATATTTTTGGATTCGTTACAAATTCCCAAGTTAAACTGCGTTTTCCAAAGAGTTCCCCGACGCAAGGATTCTTAGCAAAAGGACCTCAAAGTTCGAAAAATTCTGAAATTGGCCAACTTTCCAGAACTCTCAGAGGCAAACGGATTCATGGTTTGATTCGATGTTAAAGTTTTTTTAAAGATACACGCTTTACCTTTCAAACCCCATACTTAATTTTTGAATTTTTATTAAGGGAGAAACAAATTTTATAAAACATAGTCAAAATACATAAAAGCATACAGCTGCGGTCAAAATAGTAGTAGTATTTGCCGCCCTGTGTTTTTAAAGGTTTGTTGTTGTAATTTTTCTCCTCCTGGTAATATTGTATTGATTATAATTGTACTATTAGATTAATTGGATAAGAAAAGTGACAACAACAAACTTTTAAAAACACAGGACGGCAAGACCTCTACTATTTTGACCGCAGCTGTATGCTTTTATGTTTTTTGACTATGTTTTCTAAAATTTGTTTCTCCCTTAATACAAATTCTAAAATTATTCTAAGTAAGGGGTTTGAATGATAAAGGGTTTATCTTTTTAAAAACTTTAACATCGAATCAAACCATGAATCCGTTTGCCTCTGGGAGCTCCGAAAAGTTGGCCAATTTCAGCATTTTTCGAACTTTGAGGTCCTTTTGCTAAGAATCCTTGCGTCGGGGAACTTTTTGGAAAACGCAGTTTAACTTGGGAATTCGTAACGAATCCAAAAAAATAGCATCCATCGAGGTAAATTTAAAAAGCATTAAAAATGCTGCACAGTGTAATCAAATAAAAACACCTCTTAAGGCTTAGTACTCAACCCAACAAAAAGTCGTCCAAAACAAAAAATTCATATGAAAAACAACGTTAAAAAATTTTGTTTCATATGAAGTTTTTGTTTTGGACGACTTTATGTTGGGTTGAGTATTAGCCCTAACGAGGTAAAAAACTATTGACGATCGCACCTTGAACATACAAAAGTTCTGATATCAACATTTGTGACGAAAAATTATTACACTCGTCATTAAATAGACTTTCTAATTTTTTTCTCATTCGGCCCGCCCTTGCAAACTATTCCAGCCTTTTTCCCTTTACAGGCATTTTCTATTGCAGCGTGCCGAATGAGAAAATATTAGAAAGTCTATTTAATGACGAGTGTAATAATTTTTCGTCACAAATGTTGATATCAGAACTTTTGTATGTTGAAGGTGCGATCGTCACTAGTTTTTATCAAAATACCTTTTAAACGAGTTATAGCACATGGGTGTACCTTTAGTAGTGTAGAACTTACAAACTAACGAAATTTAGCTATTTTTAGCTTTTTCCCGCTAAAGTAGCGGCTTTTTCCAAAAGTCGTAGAACAAAAGATTCCTATATGGAACTCTTAAGTGCAAATTTACTGATTCCATGACCCTAAAATACAGTTCGGATACCCTCACACAAAATTCAATACTCAGGGAGCGTTAGTTGTTCGAGCTGGCAAAAGTGGCTATTTTCGTATAAAAATAACTTTTAAACGTGACTTTTTACAGTAATGTGTTGTATACCAAAATTTAAGGAATCTCAAGGGCTATACAGTTTAAAGTTGTAAGGAAAATCGTTAGAGCCGTTTTTGAGAAAATTAAAAAAAAGCTAAAAAGAAAGTTTCACAAAAATTTCTTTTGTTCATATCTTTTTAATTATTACATTTACACAAATTGCAAATAGAGGGCGTTTATAGCATTTAACAAGAGAGAACGCTATAGTCGAGTGCCTCGACTATTAGATACCCGTTACTCAGATAAACAACTTAATAGAAATATGCCTTCTTATATGTTATTCGCCGCTCGATTTTTACTTAGGGATCCTCTTTCTAGAAGAGGCTTTCTAGAACTTTCAATTCTGCCTAGCACATCTTCCGTCTCTCTCTAGCGCAGGTGAATGCACTTGTAAAAAACGTATACGAGCAAAAAGAGACAAAATGCGCGCCCCATTTCAAATAATTTAAAATTTGCATTAACATATTGTGAATTAGAGTGACCACAGAAAAAAGGCAGATTTTTTCCAATGCCATTTCCTAGATGGCGCTAGTGTATATTGTATTGCGCCATCTACCGCCAGATATTGGTACTACTGGTCATGAAAGGCGGAAATGTAGGCGCTGGCCAGGTTTAAGCGTTTATTGGGTTTGTGGGCGTAAGAGTGGTCGTGGCAATTTTATACTTGGCAGATCGATAGGTATTGACGAAGTGAATACATATACATATACTATTTTCATAATAGTTTCAAAACTGTGGGCGTTAGAGGGGGCTTGTGGGCATAAGAGGGGGCTTGTGGGCGTAAGAGGGGGCGTGGCACATTTTTGAAACAAACTTGCGCTGCGTAGGAGCTCCTAGAATCTGCATGCAAAATGCCAATCTTCTAGCTTTTATAGTTTCCAAGATCTCAGCGTTCATACGGACAGACAGACAGACAGACGGACAGACAGACGGACATGGCTAGCTCGACTCGGCTAGTGATCCTGATCAAGAATATATATACTTTATGGGGTCGGAAACGCTTCCTTCTAGCTGTTACATACTTTTGCACGAATACAATATACCCTTTTACTCTACGAGTAACGGGTATAAAAATACCTTTCAAACGAGATTCAGCACAAGTCTGTAGCTTTGGTAGTATAGAAGTTACGGCTTTCCGAATTTTAGCTATTTATAGCTTTTTTCCCGCTAAACTAGCGAGTTTTTCCAAAAGTGGTACAACAAAAGTTTTTTTTATCGATGTGATGAACGTCATATCAAATTTTCAAAACTTAAAAAACATGTTTTGGACAAACTGACAAACAGAATTAAATTTTCATTTTGGGAAGAAGAAGAAAATCGTATTTTGGCTATAACTTTTGAACGGAGGAAAAGGAATACAACTAAAATACTGCGAGGGGGCATTTATCCCCACCGGCCCCAACAGCTCCAAATTTCGAAATATTCACTTTTTCACTTTCACCGCTGTCTCTCCCAAGCCAATTGATTTCTTAAAGTCTTGGTATGCAATCCTGTTAGTTTTCCCAATACCTTTCGATAGGTGTATCATTCATTATGATCGGACCATCACAGTAGATTTTCATTTCTTCGTGTATATATAGTAGTCGCCTTCGCACACCCTCCTGGTGCGCTTCGTCACTACATGGACTGCCGTCCATAGTGAAATATTTTTGTAGGGTTAAATGACACTGATTTTATTTTCATTGTTAAATATTAATGAAAAATAATAAAAACAAGAAAGGAAGCTACCTTCGGCCAGCCGAAGCTTATATACCCTTGTAGATAAAAGAATACTCACTCGGTGCAGTTCCAGGGATTCCAGATTCAGCGTTTCGATTTATTTCAATTTTGTTTTTAAGTAGTCAAGAATCAAAACGCCTACTTCCTACAAAGTTACAATGAATTTTCTTATATTTGATTGGGAGCCTTAAGATATAGTGGTCCGATCCGGCTGGCTCCGACATATGTACTACCTGCAATAGCAAGAAGACCTTCGGGAAAGTTTCATCGCGATAGCTTTAAAACTGAGAGACTAGTTCGCATAGAAACGGACAGACGGACAGACGGACAGACGGACATGGCTAGATAGACTATACTAGGCTATTGGTGCTGATCAAGAATATATATACTTTATGTGGTCGGAAACGTCTCCTTCACTGCGTTGCAAACATCTGACTGAAATTATAATACCCTCTACAAGGGTATAAATATTATTATATTAATAAATATTAATATAAATATAATATTGCGAATAAAAAGTCGCAATTACAATATTATTTTTACCTTGCAATTAATATAAGTTGAAATATGTTTTTTAGCTGTGTCTCCATAGAACAACACGATGAAAATTAAAAAATTATTTGTTGGGAATTTGTAAAAATATCATGTATAATGACATGCATTTATATTTGTCCCTTTCTAAGCCTCTAATAAATGATCAAATGAATAAGCCAAGTAACCGCACTAAGAAAGTCGAAGGATTGATGTTTAAAAAATTGTATTGGTTTTTAAATTCTGTTGTCGGTGTCTTTAAGTACAAAATTTTAACTTATTTTTTAGATAGCTTTCGGACCTCCATCGATTTTAAGTGCCTTGTGGTGGTCACGATTCTCCAAAATTAAGATTGTAAAAACATTGGGTGCGTTCAGCAGAACAACATGATCACTGATTACTGATCCATCACAAGTGCCACAAGGCACTTAAAATCGATAGAGGTCCGAATACCCGATACATCGATGTTGATCTAAGCATTAGTATGAGTCAATCTTGGCTAGCTTTTGAGATAAATAAAACCAGGGACCGTAACTGTTATAATTTTTGTTTTAAAAATCACACTTTAACAGTTATTTTCTGATTTGTAAAGTAAAAATCAAAGAATAACTGTTATTTTTTGAGTTTTATAATAAAAGTTGACAAATAACAGTTATTCGTCGTGATCAAAAATAAAACTCAAACTTGATTTTTGGCGATTTTGTGGGTAAAATAAATTTAAAAAAAAATATAGTTATAAAATATGCGCGATCGCCTTTTTTAATAAATTTTTAGTAAGTTATATAAAACATGGTTAGCATGTTTTTTTTAATTATTTCATTTTTTCAAAAATGTCGAGGGAATAACTGTTATTCATAAAAATCAACAAATAACAGTTATTTTTTGAGTTTTATTATAAAAATCAAAAAATAAAAATCATTACGGATTTGTAAACTACTATGGCTAATAAAAATAGTGGTGTATTTAAAAAAATTTTATGACCCTTCTAAGTGCGTGATTTTTTTT